TGGGGCAGACCCACCATTCACCCTCCGAAGGAGGTGCAGGAGAAGGACTCAGAAAGAGCGTCGCGGCCCTGGTGACAGTGAAACGCCGAAAGAACACAGATCGAATACGCCCGCGTCGGCGAAGAAACGCAACGGTCGACAGAATACGCAATATTACCATCGCCATCATTCACAGTCTCATTCGTCATCATCTGCCCCTTCTTCGTCGACTCCCTCCATTCGCCTTCCTCTTTCCCATATGCCCCTTGTTCCCCCAGTTTCCGGGTCACTGCTCTTTTCCTTGCACCCCACTCCTTCTCCGCCTCCTCCTCCTCCTCCTCACCCTTGCAGGGGCGAGCCTTCAAGCCGTCGCCCTGCTGCGAGACGCAGCTCAGCGCCGTGACCAGGTTCCGCTCCCCAAAGAGAATTGGCACGCCGACACCGTCCCTCGCTCCCAGGGTGCGCCAGCGACTTTGCAGGACAGACACAGCGCACAAGTCCTCATCTGCCACGCGGAGGACTGATGCACCACCATGGTGCCGGTCCCTGGGAACTCAACGGTGCCCCGGCTCTGACCGACGTCGCAATTGTGTTTCAAAAAATGGGGCACTTCCGAAATCATTCTTCGTGCGGATTTCGCACCGTGGGCCTTTGCCGGAGGGCCCGAGGAACCCGAAACGGGCCTCCCGACGCCCACGGCGCAGAAAAAAAACGGCCGCCGTGCTCTTGCTCAGGACGCCTGACGTATTTGGGTGGTGCGAGGGTAAAAAATCTTGCTGTTAGAAAGCGCGTTGCACATTCCTCATCGATAGTCGACTTCGTCAGGCGCTCCACGAATCCCTACGGCCATAGGAGAAATCAACAATGTCCGTTGGGCACCTGCTGACAGCCCGGTTTTCTATGTCATGTGGGTGCTGAGAGAGATTGCCTCATCAGCGCCTTAAATTCCCCTGAGTTGTCCGGAAGTCCCCCAACGAATCCCTGAAACTGTACGTGGGAAGTAACTTCCAAAACCCTGATGCTTGATCCTCGGGAAGGAGGAAGGAAGGGGCGGAGAAGGAGAAAGAGAGAGGTTACATAAAATTCCGCAGCAACAGCAGCCTCAGAGAGCACATGCAACTACGACTCCGTTGTCATCATATTGTCACACGTCGCCTAGAGCCTTGATGTACAGAGCTATGCTATCGGATTGACACCAGCAACCTCAGTGTACGCACACGTCTTCTGTATTATAAAACAGAACCATAACTCCTGCCAACCGTACCCCAGCGCGACAAACCAGCTACTGCACAGACAGCCTGATGTACAACATGCTACCCGCTGTGCCCCAGACAAGCCAGTCGACGGCCACAGCTCGCCTAAATGTACGGAGGTATGCCATCACACCGCGAGCAAGCCTTCTTATCAAAGCAGCCACAATGAACACATTGAATCACATCTCCTTCCGCATACCATCAGAAGAAAGGGAAGGGGCTGGGATAACAGACGTGAGAAATCCGCCGGCCCCCTTGTGGGGCCACCAGGCTGTAGGCCCGTGATTCGCAGTTTCCTGTACCAGTTGTAGTTTGTAGTTTCCAGTGTTACAGTTCTGCTTCTTGCTGGTTACTGTAACTAGTTGATTGACCGCGCGAGGGGAGGGAGGCCCAAACCAGATTTTTAGCACCACCTGGGCGCGTTGTCTGAATTGCTGGGGGGGCTCGAAATCGACACCCCTCACGCAGATCCGCGGGGTCAGGGTCCAAAAACACAGGGGATTTGCCACATTTCTGAAATTCGGTGCCACCCCTCACGCAGATCCGCGGGGTCAGGGTCCAAAAACACAGGGGATTTGCCACATTTCTGAAATTCGGTGCCACCCCTCACGCAGATCCGCGGGGTCAGGGTCCAAAAACACAGGGGATTTGCCACATTTCTGAAATTCGGTGCCACCCCTCACGCAGATCCGCGGGGTCAGGGTCCAAAAACACAGGGGATTTGCCACATTTCTGAAATTCGGTGCCACCCCTCACGCACATCCATCGCAAGGCGTGGTAACCCAAACTGCGAGTACTCCCTCGGCCCTTTAATCCCAAGGTGTGGTAACCAAGCTCGTAAACCATACACGTCTTACCAATCGCCCTGTGTGGTAACCCCTCTTGTGATCAGTTGGTTTTGCCGATTGCGAATCGGCCTCGCATGGAGTTCCGATACTGCTGAACGACAGCGCCAAAGCCTCATGACTTAGCTCTTCCATGGCCCATTCTCCGAGAGAGGGGGCCGGCGGCAGGGGGCGAAGCCCTTACGGATTAAGATACTGTGGAAGATTGGAGGTTATAAGGGATGGATGCACTAGTGCGCCGGTTGATCCCTACAGGGCCGATCGCACCAACATATTGACATCATGTTCAACTCCTCACATACCCTGGTCCACAGCGCTGCTCGTTTTTGTTTGGCAGCCTTTCCCAACATGCTCCCGCCCTAATTCCTTGTAACCTTTCATACAGATTTGCAGTATGCCGATCTCGTGATCAGATTTCAGTTCCTACTCCACTGCGCCTCGCCCACCCTCCGTCCAAACACTGCTGCCCCTCATGTTTACTCGTAGGTGCCCCCTGTCTAGCACACAGTCTGCACCACCCCATACATGCCCTGGCGGGCTGCTCAACTTCAGAACTCCTTATGCTCCATGATTTCCCTCCACGGCTTGCTGTGGCAGGCTTGCACCTTATGTCACTATTGAAGGAACGCCGCCCAAGCCTGACGTTTCACGCCAACCAGACGCCATCACAGTTCCGAGCCTGCAACAACGCAAACAATTATCCTGGCGAGTGACCCAACCACATGCAGCTGTGAATACCGGAGTTGTGAGTATTTCGGTGGAGCTCCCTAGCCGCATGCGAACGCAGCTGCTGGGGCCTTCGGTGGGGCCCCCTTATGGGGGCCACAACACATTCGAGGGTTGTGCCGAAATGGGGGTGGAACCGCATGCGAACGCAAACGCTGGGGCCTTCGGTGGAGCTCCTTATGGGGGCCACGAAACGTGTGAGAGGTGTGCCGAAATGGGGGCGGAACCGCATGCGAACGCAACCACTGGGGCCTTCGGCTGAGCTCCCTGTCCCTGTGGGGCCACGAAACGTGTGAGGCATGTGCCGAAAAGGGGGGTGGAACCGCATGCTAACGCAGCCGCTGGGTCCTTCGGTGGAGCCCCCTATGGAGCCACGAAAGGTGTGACAGGTCTGCCGAAACGGGGGTGGAACCGCATGCAAACGCAGCCGCTGGGGCCTTCGGCGGAGCTCCCTATGGGGGCCACGAAACGTGTGAGGCGTGTGCCGAAATGGAGGTGGAACCGCATGCGAACGCAGCCACTGGGGCCTCCTATGGAGCTCCCTGTGGGGCCACGAAGCGTGTGAGAGGTTTGCCGAAATGGCGGTGGAACCGCATGCGAACGCAGCCGCTGGGGCCTTCGGTGGAGCTCCCTCTGGGGACACGAAACGTGAGAAGGGTGTGCCAAAATGGGGGTGGAACCGCATGCGACCGCAGCCGCTGGGGCCTTCGGTAGAGCTCCCTATGGGGCCACGAAACGTTTGAGGGGTGTACCGAAATGGGGGGTGGAACCGCATGCGGACGCAGCCGCTGGGGCCTTTGGCGGAGCTCCGATGGGCCACAAGACATGTGAGGGGTTTGCCGAAATTGGCGAGGAACCGCATGCAAACTTGCCACTGGGGCCTTCGATGAAGCCCCCTATAGGGGCCACGAAACGTGTGAGGGGTGTACCGAAATGGGGGGGTGGAACCGCATGCGAACGCAGCCGCTGGGGCCTTCGGTGGAGCTCCCTATGGAGCCACGAAGCGTGTGAAAGGTGTGCCGAAATGGGGGTGGAACCGCATGCGAACGCAGCCACTGGGGCCTTCGGCGGAGCTCCCTATGGGGGCCACGAAACGTGAGAGGGGTGTACCGAAATGGGGGTGGGATCGCATGCGAACGCAGCCACTGAGGCATTCGATGGAGCTCCCTCTTGGGCCACGAAACGTGTGAAAGGTTTGCCGAAATGGGGGGTGGAACCGCATGCGAACGCAGCCGAGAAGGGAGTGCCCAAATGGGGGTGGTGAGGAGGGAAGAGAAAGATGAAGTGGAGGAAGGAAGGAGGAAGGAAACCGCGGGGCGCTGTCTCGTCAAAACGAGGACCCAACACCACAGGATGGTCGGGAACAAACAATAGGGAGAGAAGAGGAGCAAGGGGAGGAGGATGACGGAATAAGGAGAAGAAGGCAGGAATAAGGAGGAGGAGGAGGAGGAGGAGGAGGAGGAGGAGGAGGAGGAGGAGGAGGTACCAATTCCTCTTGGGGCTCTGCAAATCCAGCCCCCCCAGGAGCTCGTCGCAGAGCTCCAGGACCGCCTCTGCGGGGAGCGGCGAGGGTGGGTAGGGGGGCGCGGCGCGGGCGGGCCCTGACAGCTTGGGCCATCCCGGGCCGCTCCCTCCCTCCTCCCTCCCCCCCTCCCTCCTCCCTCCCACCCTCCCCAGGACCAGGCACTTTCTCGTGCTCAGCTCAACGCGTGGTACAGCATGCAGAGCTAGGCCGGGGTGGTGGGAAGGTTTGTTTTTAGCGCCTCCTTTTCAATCATAAGAGGAGAAAGTTGGCCAGTGGTCGAGTGCGGCAGTGACCGATACCGACGTTGAGCAGCAGCAGCCCACCCTCCCTCGGCTTTCTCAGGACGACTCCACGCAGACGTGGTGCAGGTAGACTTAGCTGGATCTTCATCCTCATCTTGCCGCCCCCCACCCTCTTTGCGGTGACCACTTGCTGGGCAGAATGCCCCAAAGGGACCGCACGACTTCCCAAGGCTCCTTGGGGTTTGTGGGGGGGGGGGCTCAGATGAACGTCGGCGAACCTCCCGAACATGTCCCCGCGGACGAAAATCAATGCTAATGCCCGAAGAACTGTGAAGGAGCTCCGATGGGCCTTCCAGGAGCTTCCGATGACGTCCCCGCGAGATGAAGGAACCATCGCAGCCTTTCTGGAAAACGCTCAGGCCATCCCTCCCTATGTGCATCCGTCCCCGCGCATGCCGCCCCAGCGCCAGACCCCGAAAAGGAAAAGGGCGCCGTCCTCCGCCGAGGGCAGCGCGATGATCCGCTTGTTGAGCGCGGCATGCCACGAGGACTTGTGCTTGTGCGGAGCAGGCGCCTCGGTTTCGCCGTCCAAGCTCGCCTCGCCACTTCCGCGGCCGCTCCGCGCGGCCCCGTCGGCAGAAAGCCGAAACCGCAGAGAGGGGCAGCACGAGGACTGGGAAGGAAGCTGCGGGGACACTGCGCTGCCATACCTGTGCTGCTGCTGCTGCTGCTGCTGCTGCTGCTGCTGCTGCTGTCGCCGCGCCCGCAAGCTGCGCAGATCACTTCCCTGCTAGTGCGGGTGCTGCTGCTACAATGTCTAGCTCCAGCTGCTTTGACATTCGTTGCTGGCGGATTACTGTGATCTCCACCAACGGGGCCCTGCCGAGTGATAGTTGGACTGGCGGTTGGAAGGATAGTTCCTGTCCACGAAGACTGGGTCCACTCCTGAGCTCGCTGCCACGCGAGACGCACGAGCGCAGGATATAGAGGCTTCTGAAAACATGTAGTCCCTCACTCCTTGGATGACGACAACATGGCGGTGGTGACGAGGGCGGTGTCCCAGATTGGTGAAGAAGTGCGGGACCATATCAAGTCATTGGAGGATGAACTCGAGATCTCCAGACTTACAACGTCCATGCCAGAAACGACACCAACAGCGGGCAACGTGCGCTCTTTTACTGCCGTCGTTGGCGGTCTGAAAGGCTGTAGCAATATCGACGATACCTCCATGTTGGTCGGTGCGTTTTTGGAGCAAGTGGGCACCTTATCTTGTTGACCATTCGATCAGGAGCGATTGCAACAACATCCTCTTCCTGAAATGTGCCTCAACAAGTGCCCAGGATACGGTAGTGAAGACCCTCCAAGAGGCAATCACCCCGCACATATCCAACAAAGTGTGGCCGAAACTAGATCTTCATCTGGATGTGCGTTTCTGTAGTGCCGAACACATGATGACTGAATGGGGATATGACCGCACATCTGCTTGGGTAGACTTGGCAATCGTGTCTGTGGAACATGGTGACACTTCGGTCTTGTCGTCAAGAACTGATGGACGTCGTTGCATCCACCACCAGGGAATTTAGACCCAAGACGTTTGCAAAAGGAATCGTTCGCATTCAGAGGCAACCCGGTCGAACAGTAATGACGCGCTCAAGAACAGTCACTCTGGGTTATGGAAGAAAGTCAGCTTGACTGGCGATCATCTGCTTTAGCGACGCTAAGGCCGCAGATGGGGATGTGTTGTTGCAAATGGGAACTGACTGTCTCGCAGCGTATGCGGATAGAGATTTACAGGGGTAGCTTACCTCATCCATGCCCGCTGGGTCGACAAAGGTCTCGACTACACTGCTATTCCGGGCAGAGCAACATACGCGTTGGGAGATACACCTGAAAATGTATAGCCGCCTACGTGCCACACGCCGGCTGCCCCCCCGCGACGACTTCATAGATTGCTTGAGCGATGTTCGCCTTGCTGCTCTCGAAGCGCAGAGCCAGAAATACTGGTGTGTGCTGGTAGGTAGTTTCAATAGCGAAATCGGACAAAAACTAAGATGATACCGCAGAAAAAGCCCAATCATAATCTTTTTAGGGCTTCAGGGCTATGGGGCTATAAGGCTATAGGGCTAGAAGGCTATGGGGCTATAGGGCTACAGGGCTACAGGGCCATAGGGCTATAGGGCTATGGGGCTATAGGGTTATGGGGCTGTAGGGCTATAGGGCTATACGGCTATAAGGCTATAGGGCTATTAGGGCTATAGGGCTACAGCGCTATAAGGCTATAAGGCTATATAGAGCTACCGGGCACCTGGGCACCCGGGCACCTTGGCACCCAAGCACTCGGGCACACGGGCACCTGGGCACCCGGGCACCCGGGCACCTGGGCACCCAGGCACCCGGGCACCCGGGCACCCGGGCACCCCCGAGCACCCGGGCACCCAGGCGTGCAGCGAAAATCGGCGGCAAACCTAACCGAACCATATGAATCCGCTAGGACCCCTACAGAGGCAAGCTCTGATTGGGGAATAACTGCAATAGGACTAGCTTCCGCTGCCGAGCTGGATCTTGGAACGTGTGAATGAATCGAGCATGAGCTTTTAGAAAGCCAGTGGGCCATCAGTAATTGCATCGGGCAACTCCCCCGTCTAGATTACATCATGGTAAGCAGCTGCATGTCTTTCCACAGCGCAAAGCCGAGAAACATGCTTGATCTCGATGCAGATCGCAAGGCGGTGCGTGAGTGCCTGCGAACTTCGGCGGATGTTCGGAAGAGGGCTCGACGGAGACACAAGCAAACGCGCAAAAACATTGATTGGAAAATGCCTGCCGCCAAACTTCCGCGGAACATTGCTGCCAAGGAGTTCCCTCCAGCATCTCTGGGCGACGTGGAACGCATCGCCCTTCTTGCAGCTGCAGGGTCGCAGCGGCCCCAGTTGCACACCCAGCAAATAAAAAGATGCAACCATTTGGAGCGTCTTCGAAGAATGAAGAGATGTGCGACCAACCTGACCCAAAGACGAAATTATCTCAAAAGAGATTTGGCGGCTGAGCCGGAAAGAGACGCGAGCTAGCTTCAATGACCTTCGCCGCCTGGACGCACTGCACATATTCCCGATCACATGATCGTCGCAGCAGAGACCAGAATATCGCAAATGTGCTGACCTTCTGTCGGAAATGTACGTAAATGTCCAGACGAACCCTACCAGGTACTAGCCGTTACTGTCGAAGAGCTTGTGAAGGCAACCAAAACGATGAAACAACGGGGAGCTGCAGACACTGAGGGGGTGATGCTGGAGATGTTCCTCTATGGCGGCGACGATATTTTGCATTACTTGGCAGGCGTGCCCAACGACAGTTTGCAGAGTGGTTGTGTGTCGGCTGACTGGCGCGAGTCCTTCTTCAAATTTTTGAACAAGGGCGGGGGCGCGGCAGACCCACACCATTGGAAGCTGATCGTGATCCTGAGTCTGTGCGTCTACCATTCGAATCTTGCTCGCGTGCTTCTCGCCGGATACGCAGTAGCCTAGATTCACAACAGTCTGAAGAGCTAGATGGTTTCAAAGAGGACCAGTCGACTGCTGACGCTCTCTCTGTTGCCAAAGACCTCGTGAGCAACAGCCTCGAACTCAGCACAAACCTCTGGTCTGTCGACGTGGACCCGCCCAAACCCTTCGGTCGGGTTGAGCAGCCAGTACAGTTCCGCGCTTCCCGAGCGCAGGGGTTCCCCCCTGAATGCTGCGACGTACCGCGCGCGCTGTACAAACCTCAAGCTGGAGTAGTGGTTGGTGATTCATGTTTCCCACCACTGGGGGCGTCAAGCAATTCGACGTGTTACTTTCGCTCTTGTTCAACAGTGTACTGGAAGCTGCTATCCGAGAGTGGAAGGTGGAACTGAACGGCGATGGCTTGGTCTCTTGGCCGTATGTTCGGATGGCAGCGCGGAGCGGCTGTCAAACATTCGTTTTGCAGACACGAGTTGCTACGACTCGCCAGAGGTAGGAAGAACCTGTGTTTTTGAGATCAGCATGAAGAACACGCAGATGTTGTCATAATAACACTGCTTGATAGAAACATCCGATGGTTCGCGGAACCTTCTAGTTCCACAGAACAACGCATACCGCAGAAGGGCGTTGCCGGGCAACCTCGGACAACGCGGGCAGGCAGCTCTAAACCATCGCGTATGCTGCGCATGGTTGAAATTCCAATCGTTACAGACGTCGTTGTTGAACAATCACGTCAACGTGAAAATAAACCTGAAGCTCTTCAACGCGACCGTCACGCCTACGCTGGTGTATTGGTTGGAAGCTTGTGCGTTGGAGCAGAAACAGATGGATCATCTAGACGCCATGCAGAGGAAGCTGTTCCGGCGCATCGTCGGTTGGGTGTTCGAGGTTAGTGATTTGTGGGAGGATCTTGGCAGCAGAATGATGCAAAGGCTTGAATCTGCCAGGCGCCTGCATTTCGTTGAAGACGGGTCGAAAAGCAAGCTGCAGATGTTGAGTCATCTGTCCCAAAACGCTTCGTCGCTGCCGAAACTAGCGCACGAATGGTCCCTAGTCATGTGAGGCGCTGACAGTCAGCCGCAACATGCAGGAGGCTGGCCGCAGCGTCGTTGGTTTGACGACTTGCAGTTTTGGCGGCGTGTTTATTTGTTTTGCCACTCGAGCTCTGCGTAGGGCCGACTTGTTCGGCGCAGCGCAACGCACCAGAACCATATCGCCACTACCTCCCTCCGTCCGTCGATGACGACAACATGGCGGTGGTGACGCGGGCGAAGATGGCAACGACGACGACCACCGCCACGAAAACCACCACCACCACGACGACCACGACCACGACGACGACCACGACGAGGACACCGACGACGACGACAACGTCAACGACGACGACGACGACGGTGACGACGACGTTGACAACGTTGACGACGACCACGACGACCGCGACAAAGCCGACGACAACCACGACGACCACGACGACCGCGCCAAGCCGACGACGACCACAATCACGACGATACTGCCACATCCACCACGACCACCACCACCTCGGCGGCGGCGGCGATCCAACGACGCCCCTCGAACCCCAGGCGGTGCCTCAAGCTTCGCGGCGCCCGCCGTGGAGGCGGCCCAGGCCGCCTCGACCCCGCCCGTCCACTGGCGGCCCACCGCCGCCGTCGTCGTGATCGTCCTCGTCGTTAATCGACTGTTCCTGGTCCTTTCTTCTTCGCCTCGCGCGTTTCGGACGGTCCCCTCCGGGCCACTCGGACGGAGGACCGAAACGACCGCCTGCGGCTCTTTTTCTCATGACGGTTTCCTCCTTCTCCTCCTTTTGCTCCTCTTCCTCCTCCTCCTCCTCCTTCACCTCGCCCTCCTGCTCTCCATCCACCTTTTTCTCCTCGCCCTCTTTCGAGGTTCGAGCTGCGAACATTGTCGACCAGTCCCGTCTTCCTCACGTTGCTCATCTTCACCCCTGGTCCGCCTGAAAAAAACTCCTGACCGTACTCATTCTTGGTCATGCCGTCGCGCCACAGGGCCCCGCCGTGCTAACACTGGGGCACTCCGACTGGTCATGCGTTTCCGTCTTTTCAGGCTGCTGTTCCTCCTCGTCCTCCTCGTCACTCCCTTACCCCCCCCTCCTCGCGCACTTTTATCCGCAGTGCGCCGGCATTGCGTGTCGCAACAAAACGCCACATGCATTTACACCTTGTTGCATGAGTTTGCACGCACTTTCATGAGGATTACGGAGTTCCGTTAAACCTTCACTCAGCAGAATCTTCCAGTGGTTCGATGTCTGCTGGGTTATAGGGAAGTTTTCCACAAGTTGTCAAAAGGTATCAGAATTCACCCGAATAGTTCAGATACCTCTGCTGTCTGAAGAAGTCTGAACAATTGTTATGGGAAATGTCCCAAAAATCTACTGCGCGCAAACACGCGCCCCGCGGCGCACAAATCAGGGTCGAAGCAACGTTTCAGCCCCGTTTACGCCTAGATGCAAAAGGGACTCCCGACGAAAGGTCCTCCTCCTCCTCCTCCTCCTCCTCGTCCTCGTCCTCGTCCTCGCCCTCCTCCTCCTCCTTCTCCTCCTCCTCCCCATCCTCCACCATGTCCTCCTCCTCCTCCTCCTCCACCTCCTCCTCCTCCCCACCCTCCACCACGTCCTCGTCCTCCTTCTCCTCCTCCTCCTCCGAATCCCTTCTTCCTCCTCCTTTTTTCATTCCTCCTTTTCCTTCACCTCCTCCTGCTCCCGCTCCTCCCCGCCCTGTTAATCCTCTCCTCTTCGTCCCCGGCCTCCCCCCTACCTGGGCCCAACTTCATCAATCATTTGCCTCCTTGTCGTGTTCCGCCCCCATCCTCCTCCACCTATCCCCCCCCTCCCGCTTCCCCCGTTCACTCTTTCCGCCCCATGGCCCGCGCCCGCGGCAAAACAGAACCGTCGATTCATCGTCATCGTCGTCGTCCTCGCCTCTGCCGTCGTCATCGCCCAGTCCGTTTCGGATCGACGGCGCCGTGGAGAAGGACGAGGAGGGGAGGATGAGGAGGAGGAGAAGGAGGAAGAAGACGAGGAGGCGAAAGAGGAGGGGGAAGATCAGCAGGAGCGGGAGGACGTCGGGAAGGAGGAGGAGCAGCAGGAAGAGGAACAGGGAGGGGATGAGGAGGAGGCGCAGGAGGAGCAGACGCAGGAAAACGGGGGGAAGGAGGAGGAGGAGGAGGACGAGGACGAGGAGGAGGAGGAGGAGGGGGAGGAAGACGAGGAGGAGGAGGTGGAGGAGGAGGAGGAGGAGTATGGGGAGGAGGACGAGGCGGAGGCGGAAGAGGGGGAGGAAGGTTTGGTGGCTCATGGGGCATCGATGATCAGAGGCGCGCCAAGGGGCGTTGGGGTAGTGGGGTACGGCCTCACCGAAGTAAGGGTGTCATTGCCTTCTTTGCGCGCAGCCGAGATCCCAAGTTAGCACTACTGTAACTTAGTGCTGTTTCTAGATTAACCGCCCTCCCTGTTTTCCCGGCGGCGAATAACACTGGTCCTCAAACCCGTCGCGCCGGAGATCAATTGCCCTCAAATGTTGGGCGGGCTGGACAATGTTCAGGTTCTTTTTTCCCAGGGAATTATGCCCCGCGGGCTGCCCTGCACTAGCCCAGCTAGGGAGGGGGGGGAGGAGGAAGGGGAGGAGGAGGAGGACGATGAGGAGGAGAAGGAGAAGGAAGGAGTGGGAGGATAGGAGGAGGAGAAGGAGGAGGAGGAGGAGGAGGAGGAGATGGAGGAGGATGAGGAGAAGTGAAACATGCGCGTTAAGTTCACAATCCAACCGGTCAGAGGGCAGTCCAGGACCACACGCCGATCCGAACCCACTGCTTGAAGCCATCTCGGAGCATCTGTCACGCCAGGCGAGGAAACCTGACGGACACGGAGCATTGCCAGCCGCACGTGGAGGAGGAAGGCATGAGGAGGGGAGGAGAATGTGGAGGAGGGTCTAGGCCGCCCTGCCCGCCCCAAGACGCCAGAGGTCTGGGCCTGCAGGGCCTTCAGCCGGAGGCGCCGAGACCAACGGTTCCCTCATCAAGAGGGAGCCCTCCCGGCGGCCTCCCGAGGCTTCGGTCGGCTGGAGGGCAGGGATGGCCGACAACCAGGGTTGAGACGACGTCAGCACTGGGACAAGATCGGCCTCGGTTAGGTCGAGGAGCTCTGAGATCCGGCGGCTCTGGAAGATACCTCGGGCGCCGAGGCCATCTCAGAGCGTTCCGGAACGCCCTGCGAGCGAACACTCCGAGAGCGTCCCGGAACCCACTGGGACGATTTGTCCGTGTCCTGGCCCCGCCCGGTGGGTCCTCGAGCGGGCCCCTCCCGGCGGCCTGCGGCGTGAAGCCGTGCCGGGCGTGCGGCAGGCCCTGCAGCGGGGCGACGGCCGTGTAGAAGGACCCGCCCTGCGGCGCCGCGTGCCAGGGAGGGTCGTGGCAGGAAGGGGATGGGGAGAGGGCGGGGAGACACACAGGGAGAGGTTCAGAATGCTTGCCATGAACGCGCGCACGCAAGCCCCCCCCCCCGTAACAGGATTGTTAAAATGAGATGCTCCCGCGCGCGCTCGTGATGCTCGTGTCCCAACCCCCTACATCTGCCTCGGCTGCGCCCGAGAGTGAGCTCCCTCTCCCTTCCAACCCCAACGCCGCCCTCGTAAAAGGGGGAAGGCAACACGCGTCGCATGCCCGCGCGTGTCTCGCTGAGCTACTGCGGGCGACGGGGCCGAGAGAGAGAAAGAGTGAGACGTAAACTGAAAGTTGGAAAAATGATAGAGGAGGAGGAGGGCATGGAGGAGAGAAGTGGATGGGGAGATGGAAAGGAGGTGCGCGCGAGTAGGTAGGGTTGAGGAGGGTTGAGGAGGGGCAGAGAGGAGATAAGAGGGCGAGTAGGCGGATTACGAGGAGTTTGAGCGGAGGGAGTCGTCCTGGTCTTCCATGCGGCGACGTAAACGTGAAGCCAATGAGCTAATTACCTCAAAGGGCGTGCACGCAAGCGGAATTGAAGCGTCCAGCCACATAGATGGTTTGTCCTGCGACAGACAGCGAAAACAAGTGGTCACCCTCACATTCGCAGTCCGTGCCGAACGAACGTGGACGCACCGTGAACTACAAAACCTGCGTTGGCCCTGGACTCGGGTAGAGGGGACAGGAGGAGGAGGAGGAGGAGGAAGAGGAGGAGGAGGAGGAGGAGGAGGAGGAGGAGGGGGAGGAGAAGAGAGCAACGGGAAGACAACGCGTGCCTGCCAAAATCCACCACGCTAAGCCGCGCAACCCCGCGACGGCACGCGAGGAGGCCTCGCCCGGAAAGGCCTGGGGAGGGGAAAGCAACAGGTGCCCTAGCTATCACAACAAATCACAAGCCACCCACGCGGCGCAAAATTCTAGGAGGAAGACGATGCACATATGAAAAGCCACATGAAGAGGACAGGAATGGGGCAGGAGTGAAGGGAGGAGGGTGAGGACGACGACGACAGGGAGGGAGACACAGAAAGGTAGAAAGGGAAGGGAGGAGACACGATAATGGCCCGCGGAGTCGCGTACCCCTGAAGGTATTCAAGTCCTCCTCTTCCTCCTCCTCCTCCACCACCTCCACCTCCTGTTCCTCATCCTCATCCTCCCCCTCTCTCACACCTGCCCCTCCTTTCACCTCTCCTCTTGCTCGTCTTACTCCAACTACTTCGTTCCTACCCTCCGTCATTCCTTCCTTTCTTCCTCCTCTTCCTCTTCCTCTCCTCCTCCTCTTCCTCCTCCTCCTCTTCCTCGTCTTTTTATTATTACTATTATTCCGCCTCGTCCTCCTACTCCTCCTCTTCCTCCTCCTCATCCTCAGCACCATCACCAGCATCAGCATCAGCATCATCATCATCATCATCATCATCATCATCAGCATCATCATCATCAACATCATCATAATTTATCCCTTCTTTCTTCTGTCTCCTCTCTCCCCGAACCTCTCCCTACCGCCTCCCTTCCACCCTGTCCCCTCCCATCCTCCTTACACCCCCTCCCTCCCCACCCTCTCTCCTCCTTCCTCCCACCCTGTAGCCGTTCCCATCCCGATCCCCGATTTCCCCCTCTTCTCTCACTCACCCTTTTCTCCCTCACCCCCCCTTCTGCCCTCCGTCCCATTTCGCCCTCTTCTTTTTTACGCACCGCTTTGTCCTCTCGCTCCCTCATGCTCCCCGTGACGCGGAAAGACGTGCGGCGCAAACGGTGGGCGGGCTGGCACTTCGCCTGTCGCGAACGCGCTATGAGTTTTAGCGAAAGCTGCTGGAGCCCGGGAGGATCCCTGTTCGAGCGGGGACCCCCAGTGTCCGACACCTGACACCAAGTGCCCCGGTGGAGTCTGCATCTCGGTGTCCATGTGGGTCTCTAGGGTCGGGAGCCATACGGCGGCTCATGATGACCGCCAGCAGGCCGTCGGAGTCAATTTGCGCGGGCCTGGGGGGGATCCCCAGCAGGCAAGAGGGTGTCCGGGAAGCCCTTCTGCCTCCTTGCACGCCCCCCTTTGCACCAACCCCTTCTCTTCGCCGCCAAGGGAGGGCGGCGTGGACCGACGGCGGCTGCGAGAAAGCAGGCCTCGGGCGCCTCCTGGGATTCGCAGAACGAGGAGGAGGAGGAGGAGGAGACGAGCGTAGAGGGAGTCCAAGGTCGATCCACCCGCCTAGGAGCCCCTCGGCACCTGGCGCTTCTCGACGCCCGTGGCGGAGGAAGACGAGACAGCAGCGAAGGACGCAGCAGCGGTAGCAGCAGCGAACGGACGCGCCTCGGGTGCAGGCGAGCGGGGCGCACCTGCTGTTGTAGCTGGTGCACTCGTGGTCGACGCGGCCGTCGACGGGCGAAGATTCGTTTCAATCCGAGAGCCTATTTCAATCTGCACAGGGGGCGCAGCGGTCTTTATATTCGGAGGACAAGGAGCAGCAGCAGGAGGGATCGAAGCAAAGGAAGAGGGAAGGAGGGACAGCGACGGGCAGACGTGCACACTGTTTTCGGCGCACACGCTCACACCGTCCTGTCCGCTGACCCCTGTTACGGGTGGGAGGTCACTCCACAGGTCGGGACGACCAGCGTTGGTACTCTCACGCGTATCCCGAGAGGCGCAGACCCCAAACAGGCCAGCACGGGGAAACGCGGCGGCGGCACGAGCAGGAGGCGGCGCAGCACGCGGGGTGCGAGCACTGTTTGGACGCTCCCCGCAAAAGGGCCCTCCAGGCCGAAACGCTGGGCTCACACAGGCGCTAGCAAGGCTACCGAGGCTCGGGAGGCTGGGACCCACACCACCAGCAGCCACACATGGCTTCAGAGGAGGGACACCACCAGGATCAGCAACAGGGCTACCGAGGTCCAGCGATCGCTGAGAGCGGTCAGCCAAGAGCAGCTCAACGGGTCCCGCGACAAGTCCAGAGGCACAGGCATCGTCGGGGTTTCGAGCGGGTACCTCAGTACGAGTGGATAGAGGCGAGCAGCCTGCAACATAGGGGTAAGGCAAGTTCACAGACGGGGCCGCTCCAGGGCCAGAGAAGACCGCCGAACACGAAGATGACGCAGTGCCCGAAGCAGACAATGCCGAGCTCGAAGTGGCTGCAGGGAGGTCGCGCCCAGAACCAGCTTGAGACGCCAGCTCGCAATTCACTCCTGAGCCCTTATTTCCATCAGAGGCGGTCGACCTCCGTGCTTGAGACACCAGCTCACTCCTTACTCCTGAGCCCTTATTTCCATCAGAGGCGGTCGACCTCCGTGCAAGAGACGTGATCTCACAACTTACTCCTGAGCCCTTATTTCCATCAGAGGCGGTCGACCTCCGAACTTGAGACAAAGGCTCACAACTTACTCCAGAGCCGTTATTTCCATCAGAGGCGGTCGACCTCCGCGATCTAACGCCAGTGGCCGCAGGGCTCGAGGAGCACCCTGCAGCAGAAACCTGGAGAAGGAAAGAGGCAGGGTCGTCGTCCCCATCTCCGTCGGCGTCATCACTATCTTCAGATTCCATTGCTGAGACAGGTAAAGAATGGTAGTGGACCGATCCGTTGGCAGTAACGGTGGGCAGGACCTCGTCTCCATCGCTGTCCACAAGGAAGTCGCGTACACGTTGCGGCGCAGCGGGTCCCATGTATTGCCTCATCTCTCTGCGTATCTCACGAAGTGCCTGGTAATGTCGATCAGCCGCCTCCTCCCATCGCTCGTGTCGAGTCAAGGCGTGGCGAGGCTCATTCAGCCACCGAAGGTATGCCACAATGTTGAGGCGCCCCTCAAGAGAAGTGTCCCAGGCAACCGTGCAAATATGACGAGCGAGTTCGTCGAGTGTGCCATCCCAACCAGAAGAATCCACCCATTCCATCGCATCTAATTTGGCGCGCACGTACGGGATGCACCACAGCCACCAGTCAGCACGGCCACTCTCGGGATCATCCAGGCGCAAGACCCAGCGCGTAGCCCTCGAGGCAATACCTTCGGCAAAGACAGCTGGTGGGGCATCCTCCGCAGAGGTAGAATGTGGATGGCCAGCAAGATTCAGAACAGGAGTTCCAGGTGACGGCGTCGACAGCGGAGGGGTGGCAGCGCTAGGGCACATCAGCTGTTCAGGAAGAGCAGGGTCCTCTCGAACAGGGAGCCCACCAGCACGAAGGCGGTCGACACGCTTGATGGTCGCTCGATATTCACGCTCGAGCCGTGCCACATCCACCTCACATGTGGTTGGGACAGTCAGCGTCGCTGCACGGACCGCGGAGAGCGCCACGGTGGCGGTCAGCGGCCACGAGAACATGGATGCCGCAGGCTGCGGCGAGGTTGCCGCGGGAACGGGCGCCCGCACGTTCACGTCCTGCCCTGAGGGCAGGGCCTCGCACTGAGCCAAAGCGCCAGCAGACAAGGGCACAGGGAACTCTGGCTGGAGAGCAGGTTGGCCGTCTTCATCCGAGCCCGTGGGAGAACCCGAAAGAGCACCACCGCGCACCGAATAACTAGGCCACACATCGTCGTCAGACGGAGTGGGTGGGACCAGGCCAGGGATAGGGGCCGCGGCGTCGGAGCTCACACTGGTGGTGGACGAGGAAGTGAGCACATCCGACTGAGGCTGCCTGCGGCGGATCGCCTGGACATCGGGAGGAGGCTCCCACCGTTTCAACTTGTCCGAAGGTCTGGCCAGACGAGAGGTGCGGACGGCGGCCTCAACATAACCGCGTAGCTGACGAGGAGTCGACACGAGCGCACCCTGCCGAGCATGGTTGAAGACCTGGTAATAGACATAGAGAGCCTCGAAGTGGTCAGGGTGGGGATGGGCAAGGCCAAGACGCTGAGCAAGGGGACGAGGCAGGGCACGTTGTAGTCCCTTGCTGACTGCCTGGTACAGTTTAGGGCAGCGGAGATAATGCTGCTGCCGATCTGGGCCAGGGCATCCGAAACGGCAACGAAGTTTACCCCGTGGGTGGATAATCCTATAGGACGTCAGCCATCCATGCCCCCAAGTCCGTAAGGCCGCCATAGCCCAGCTTTGCGGGACCAACGCCAGAAGCTCCTGAATAGCGGGCCAGTGAATCTGGTTGAGGAAGGGGTGGTAAGCCGTGAAGAGCGGGGTTAAGTGGCGGATCAGCATAGCGTGCAGAGGTTTGTGCATACACATATTCTGACCCAGTGAGCGAGCAGCCGCACGTTGCAGCTTGGGTCTTCGTGTCGTAACCTCAGCTTCCTCACGAATAGCCGAGCGAGCAGCAACAAGCAGGGGCTCCTGAGACCTCACGTGGACCAGCTCAAGGTGTTCGACGAACGCAGGGGATTTCCAGAAAGCTGGATAAACACGAGAGCGATCCATAGAACCCAACGGGATAGCATCAAACTTCCCCTCCACGACCTCTCTGTGCCAAAGCGAAGCCGTCTGCCGCAGCAGCCGCAGGTATTTCTCATAGCCCTGGAAGGTGTGAATAGCAGCACGAAGGTGAGCAGCAGTAGCATGGGCAGCCCACGATGGGATCTGAGGTCCACCCCAGGCCGGGAGCTCCAGGACCGATTCGTTCGAAAAGAGGCCGAGGGGAGCTCGAAGAACTTGGGCGATAGCACCACGTTCAATGGGCAGAAACCATTCAGGCATAGGAAGGAATTGTGCCACATAGGCCAAACAAGGATAAACACGCGTGCGGTATAAGATACAGTTGGTACAGACCGACGCAACCCCACGTCCCAACATCCGAGGAGGAGGAGGAGGAGGAGGAGGAGGAGGAGGAGGAGGAGGAAGACGCAGAACGAGGAGGAGGAGGAGGAAGAAGAGGATGCACGACTCCACTGATGAGGCCCAGGTGACCAGCAAGCCGTTGCAAACAGGGTGCGGAGCGTGATAGAGCGTCTGCTGAGGGCTCTGAGGGGCTCTCGCTCGCAGCTCCACGAGCCTCACAGCTCGATCCGGATCAAATGCTTCAGTCTGGCGCGGCGAGCTGGACGGTCATGGAGGAGGGAGGGGAGGGTCGGTGATTAGATACGAGGCCAGGACGTATACAGATCCACGCCGCCATCACACGGTCCATGTCGGACGCATCCGTCGGATGATGAGTGGCAGTGCGATGGCAGTGAAGGGTCAAAGATATGAGAGGAGGAGGAGGAGGAGGAGGAGGAGGCGGAGGAGGGAGGAGGAGTGCACGGCCTTCACACAAATCATGATCCCGACCAAGCTGGCTGTAGTGGGCGATGGCACGGCGCACACGTGCACGTGCTCTGAAACAGGCTGGCAGGCACGCAGAGTCACATCTGTTAATGGTTCGCAGCGCGTTGCAATTAATTATGGAAGAGGAGAAGGCGGAGGAGGAGGAGGAGGAGGAGGAGGAGGAGCAGGAGAAGGAGGAGGAGGGAAAGCAAGAGGAAGGGAGGAGGACGAAGAGGAGGGAGGAGGAGAGGAGGAGGGGAGGAGGAGGAGGAGGAGGAGGGGGGGAGGGGGGGGGGAGGGGGAGGAGGAGGGGGAGGAAGAGGACGAGGAGGAGGAGGGGATGAGAATGAGGAGGAGGAGGAGCAGGAGGAGGAGGAGGAGGAGGAGGAGGCTCGAGGATGGTTGCCGAGGACGGGGAGGGGGCGAGAGGGTGCGCGCGATGGACTCCCCCGACCGCGCCGTCGAACCAGCCCGCGTCAACGAGCCACACCACGTAACGGGGCGAGAGGGCGGGCTGGCGGGCGGCAGGGGGCAACGGTCGGCGCGGCCTGCGGCGGCGGCGCGCCTGCGCTCAACAGCCCGTCGGCCGGGTCCTCGGCGGGCTGCGGGCTGCAGCCGGGCCACGGCAGGCGCGCGCCGATCCACTCCTCCCCCTCGCCCTCCTCTCCGGCTGCTTCTCCTCGCCAAGTCCTCGCCATCCTCCTCTCCTGCTGTTCCTGCTTCGCCCCCTTTCGCCACGGGCGGAATGGCCACCTGAGCCGAGGGTTGCCTGGCCGCTCGCGGAGTCAGTGAGGAGGAGGGGGAGGAGGAGGAGGAGGAGGAGGAGGAGGAGGAGGAGGAGGAGGAGGAGGAAGAAAAGGAGGAGCAGCAGCAGGAGGAAGAGGAGGAGGAGGAGGACGACAACGACGACGCCGACGAGGCTGAGCGGAGTAGAAAGGGAGGGGGAGGAGGAGGAGGAGGAGGAGGAGGAGGAGGAGGAGGAGGAGGAGGAGGAAGAGGAACAGACACAAGGGAGGAGGACGTGGACAACAAAGAGGGGGAGGAGGAGGCAGAGGAGGAGGAGGAGGAGGACGACGACGACGATGAGAAGGAGGACGACGATGAGGAGGAGGAACGGCCATACCTGGCAGAAGTTCACGAGACGTTTATGGCCGCATCGCGTGCAGTGCAGCTGCTGAGCACTCTTTGCCTGCCAAGAAAGAAGCGCGGCGCTGGGCGCGGCGAGCGTGATGCTATGCAACTTGTGATAAACATGAAAATGACAGCGGAGTTCTTCGGATGGCTTCGGGCATGGAGTGCTCTGGGCTTGCGTGTTGCGCAGGTGTCACTTAGCCAATGCGGACAAGGGGGTCTGGCGATAGGAAGGCACGAGGCAGGGTCAGGAAATGCAGGAGACGGGGGCAGGTGAGGTAATGGCGGGGACAATCCGAACAACCGTCGCAGCTGACCACACAAGTTTTGCACGAGCCGAAATGGAAACGGTGGCTGGTCCACCACGCACCTGCGAGAGTCTTGTGCACAGCCCAGCGGGCAGTTGGGGCCTTGCGCGACAATTGGCTGGCCAACTCGTCGCCATCGCTCCGTTAAGTCGCTCGGTCGGTGAAGCGCTGGCAAAACTGCGCGCAGGCGGCGAGCCAGAGTCTTAGCAAAGGTGTCGGGGTAGAGGGAGGCGTGGAAGGCCCAGTTGTGGGAACGCTGAACCATGGCCCGCCGCTGGTTATGGGTTGCTGACGACTTTTCGTTTTCAGCGGCTCGTTTGTTTGCCCGCCAGTGCTGCAGGGGCAGTTTGTATGGATGCACCCGTGTCTGCAGGGTGTGCCAGCATTCGGTGATGCTCGGGCTCTCCCAATACACAAGGGAGACCGTGGCCCGAATACGGGCCATCGCGAGGTCGGCCAATGAGATTTCTGGATTGAGCGGGTCCTGGGCATCCGTTAAATCTTACAGCAAGGCCTATCAGTAGGGGAGCGTGACAGTGGCCGATATACACGCAAACGCTAGTGATAGTGGCACTAGTGAGTATCAAAAATGGAAAACGACTCCTTATCTTATGAGGTATATGCTTACTCGAAGTACAACACAGCCACTGGCCACCAAGACGCTGCTAAGCCGGAGCCGTCGGCGTAGGGTCAATCAACACTTCTTCTTTGCCAAGACGGAGGATTCCTGCTCGAAGTTTGGCTGCTGCTAGCATCATGCGGGCCCGGTCCGCCCACTGGTCAGCTGCAGAGTACGGTATCCATCCACTCTTCGCAGTCACTCTTGGGACTGACGTCCAGAACGTCGGTGGGGGGCTGTGTGCCTGGGCCACCTCATCTCGCAATGCTTGGCGTCGTGGGCACTCCGCCCACGCGTGTCTCAAAGTGGGCACCGCATGCCCGCAGCGCTTGCAGCTCGAGCCTGTCCGCCGCATCGACGCCGCGGTGACGGCACCGCATCGATGAATCGCCAAGAGGGTCCGATCCGCCTCCACAGAGGCCTGCGCCCACTTATGCGCTGCTAGATCCCGAGGATACGCCGACATCGTCAATCTCCTCGGCGTCGCATCGTGTCCTGACAACTGCCTGGATGCATCGTACGCGGCAGATCGATATGATGGCGTGCTGGGCTGGAGTTCCCGTCCAGAACCTCCAGCGGCCGTCCACCAGGTCATCGATTGCGTCGCATACTCGGATCCACTTCCAGCAGCAAGCCATGGGTGGGATAGAAGCGCACGTACTGCAAACCGACCGCCTGCACGTGATTGGTGATGGGCGTCTCCACACCACGAAAGCCGACCACACCATATTCTGACGCATGACATTCTTGATCGCAAAGATAACAGTCGAAGAAACAGGATGGAGCAACGCGTTCTGGCCCCAGAACCGCCCGTAGCACCACCACGAGGTCCCCGTATTCCATATCGCCCTGGTCAGGGCCTTTATCGTAGAACGAGGAGGCGGCACAACCAGCGGCGACGCCCACAGCCGAAGAGGGCGAACGCATGCGCATGCCAGTCGGGGTCGCACCTGTTGGGGGCCTGGGATCGAGGCCAGGACGTCGATAGATGAGAGCAGCGTGGTCCAGCCGCCTCTCGGCTCGATGGGATGGTTGGCGTTGGTGGGAGCCGCAAGCACGCCCAAATGTTCGATCAACTTGTCCGTGCCGTCTGCTGCCAACCACATCTGACGCTTCTTCCTGTTCCGGCAGTAACCGATGGAAAGGTCAAAGCGTCTCGTAGCCTCCAGCTCGTCACGTGCAATGTCGGGGCCCTGGGCCGCCAGCGATCGGTCATTCATGAACAACGTCGGCAACGCTGGCACGAGCGCGGCGATTATCGTGGCGGGAGCCGTCGAGCCGCCCTGAGGTAGCCCGCATCGGGGGCCGATGAGGTCGGCGAGCTGGCCCATGACACATCAATGCCTCAGTCCGCTCCACGCCGCCGCGCAAGTGCAGGTGACCATGTCAGGCATGCCACTGCGCCAGGGGTTCCCGAGATCAATCCAACGGGATAGCTCATCGCACGAGAAACTGGGCTGCTCTTTCGTCTGGCCCACTGGTTCCCACGAGGAGATAGCACCGACAGGGCCAGTGCTTGTAGCCATGTCCGCCGCAGAATCAAGCCCGCGCTGATGGGTCGACTGTCGCCCTCCCCCGTCGGGGCGCCTCCGTCCGAAAACAAATTGTCGCACATGATCGGGGAGGCGTCCTTGGAGGTGAACGGCTTCTCTGGAAGTGAGGATCCACGTGTCGTAGAACTCCCGCAAGGTGGTGGGAAAGTGCTTCTTGAGCGCGCACCGCTCGCGGAACGTCCAGCCGTCGAGACCTGGACATCCCTTGGCCTGCATGAGCGCCGCGAGGAGCTCGTCGCAAGTGGGTTCCCACTCGGCAGACTGCGCACCCTTGGGCAAGGCCACCGCACTCGAGTGCTGCTTCCGCGCGCCCACATGCTGTGTGTCGCGGTAGTTCGGCGGGTCCCAGCATTCCTTCTATGTCGTTCTCGTCACATTGACCGTCGTTGACTGCGATGGTGACGAGCCCCTGAACACCGGCGTCGCATACTTCCAGATGTCGGATGACCAAGCTGAAAACTTCTGGCGCCACTGCTTGGATGCGCGGTGCTGGAGGCGGGTCTGTTTCCCAGCAACCGCCGCGGAAAAGGCAACCCAGGGCATCGGCGTAGCACAGGATACCCACGGCAGGTAGTGCAAGTAGATCAGGGAAGACCATGGGTGCCCTTGCCAACTCAACGCGGTGCTTGCTGCCCAGCGTCGCTGTGCAACGTGACACTTGTCGTAGGACCTCGGCAAAACGACGGTGGAGTCGAAGGAGGCGTCGGCGCGTAGTTGGCTGATCCCATCTGCGTGCAGGTGAATGCAAGGTCGCTCGTGGCGATGGCTCGGATCCTCTGTCTCTCTCCGCGGTGCGGTCGACAGACATGCAATCCGCCTCCGCCGCCACGATCATAGTCTTCTCAGCTCTAGCGCGCCAGCACTGTCAGCGCGGAAGGTCTGGGTGATCGTCCTCGTTGCCGTCGCGGTAGGCGCTGATCTCCTGGCCCACCAGCTCTTGCATCGAAGCTCTTTCTTCTGCCGTAGAACTCCGCTCGGGGGCGCAGGCAGCCGCGCGCCGCATCCGCGCATGGGGTGTATTCACGAACTGCACGCGCAGCTCGTAGCTGACAGGCCCGTGGCAGGGCAACCCCGGCAGGAAGTCGGTGACAAGCTAGATCGGGGCAAGACCGTCGCCCCAATGCATGACATGAGTAGGCGATGTGTCCGCGACCGTAATCGCGGGATCCACTCCAGGACGTGCGGTGCACATGGTCCAGGACGTAGCCATCGCAGCGTAGGCTGGGCTCCAGTAGAGACCCCCCATCATGAAGAAGGGGCGTCACAAGTGTCCCAGCGCCTGCAGTCCCCCGAACGCTGTCGTGAACCATGGGCGATCAACCTCCGCGGGCCCATAGACAGACACGATCGACGCCTTTGGTGCGCGGATGCCAACTCCACGACGCTGCAAGAAGGAATCTCTGATCACTGAGATTCTGCCCGAGGTCCGTCGCAACGACAGCGCGCGCCCACCCTGTCGGACAGCCCGCGAGCGAATCCTCGTAAAGTCTGGAGAAAGAATGCCCCACCCGAGTTTGGCGGCAAGCTGCATGGCCCACCGCGGCCGTAGTTCTCGATGCCGCGCCCCTTGCAAACAGATGGCCCCCCGCCGAAGCCACATCAGTCGAATTGAAGGTCATGCAAGGGGCCTCGCCTTGTACAAAACTGCAACGCTGATAATACAACATTTCAGCAAGGACGGCGAGTCGCCAGGTGGCGCAAGCGGCTCCCCGTCGTGCTCGTCGCCAGCAAAAAGATCCGCCAGTCGGCGGAGCTTGGTGGAAGGGGGGCTCTCAGAATGCACGTCGGTCTCCTGTGGGTCGACGCAATGCCGGATTGAGTGGGCGTGGCCTGCGGCGTAGGTCCGGTAGAAATACATGGGGCCTGCGATGCAGGCCCAGTCGGGGCACGCGGCGTTTGCGCCGTCGACGTCGCCGAGGCCGGCCTTGCAGAAGGCGGGGGCGCCGAGGCCCCAGATGCGGCCGTAGTTGGCGTCGCCGTTG